CTCGGCTCCCCCGAGCGGGAACCGGGGTCTCTGTCCCTGCCCCGCGCTTGCAGGGGGAAGCGTGGCTGCGGCCCGCGGGCCTCCCTTCTTCCCCTCACACCGCCTGCCCGCGTTGTGCCCTGCTGCTGGCCCTCCACCGCGGCGGCCTTGCCCAGGAGAAGGGTCCCCTCCTTCAGCCCCCCTTCCCGCTCGCCCTCCCGGGCTTCCATTTCAGCAGGGCTGGGGCCCCGGAGGGCAGCGTCGCTGGTGAAACCCCTCCGCAGGTCGCAGCTACACCCGAGGCAAACCCAGCTCGGTGTGGGTGTAAGCAGGGGAAGGGGTCTCGCAGGGGCGCATTGGAAGGCGAGGGCTCGGGGTGCTGTCTGGGTGAGGCGCGTTAACTCCGGTCGCGCCAATTTGATCATTTCATCCATTGATTTCCATCCCCTAGGGAGAAACGCAGAGGTTGCGCTTGGCTGAGCGCATTCAGACAGCCCTGTTAATGCAAACGGAGCCTGTAAAATGTCTGACGTAACTTGGGTAGGAGGCTGCCGGGGTGGGATTTGGTCTGACTTCAGGTGCCTGCAGTGAGGACGTTGGTACCCGAGCGAGGTCGTCGGACTCCCCGCCAGCAGCAGCGGGAAGCAGGCATCCCTAGAGAATGGTCCTCCTCTGAAAGCAGACATCCCAAAGGAGCTGAACTGCACCCCAGATGTGTCTTTATCTTTTGCTAACGATAAAAAAACCCAAAAAGACTGGCTTAGCTGTACACGTTTACACTTTGAGTGTCTCTCTATTTAAGGGAGATGAATCTCACCACAGGCCTGTAAAAGTTCTGAAATCAGTGTTTTTTCTTTAAACTCTCTTCGGTTTTAACAGAGGTGTATCTTGCTGCTTTTGTTACCTTCTTTCCCAGTAAAAATTTGGAAAGAAAAATCATGTTCTTTGCAAATTCCTCCAGCACCTGAAAAGTAGCTGATTCCTTGGTATTGTTTGACCACAATTGGGGTGTTCTCGATTATTTTAGTCTCTTTTAAGTGAGTCAGTGGCCACCTGCTGATTTCAGGAAAGCACCAGGCTGCACAGGCCACTTAAATGGTCTACCTGAGACAGCCGTGTTGAAATGTTAATAAAAATTGCAGTCAAAATTTCCACCAACCTTTTGAATCCCTTTGCTTGCCTTTTTTTTTTATTCTAGGTAAATGCAAACCGTACAGAAATCCTCCCTCAGACACCTCATAGACTGCGTTGGCGCTTGTCAAACCTCGCACGCAGAGTTTGCACGTGAGACGGCCCTGCTACTCTCTGCCTGCTTTAAATATCCTGAAAACCTTGCTGTTCCTCGAGGTGCAAAGGAAGCCTTTCAGAACAGCAACATCAGGCGCTGTCTACAAACGGAAAGAAAAGGTGGGTAGCGTCTTTCCCTTCTTTGCAGGGAGGTGTAAATGTCAAAGCTTAATGAAGGCAATTTGAGTAGCAACAATATTACCCACTTGAAAGTAGAAACATTTTGATATTCTAGAATAATCTGTCCTAAGGAATGCGTTCTCGCTCTCTTTGTGATTAGAATAATTTGTGCATCTTATGTTTTTTATCTTTTCTTACAGCTTTGAAACCTCTTACAGAGATCAGAGCTTATCCCTGTCTCAAGGGTTTCAACCTAAATGACTAGTTGAAATTAGGCTTAGTTCCAGAAAGCCTCTACTAACAAGTTTCTGAGCGGAGAATCTAGATTCTTATGGCATTCCGGCTAGGAGTTTCAGGCTGCTGGAAGCCTAAGGTATCTCTCTGTACTCTTACAACACGGTACGTTTTCAGCTTCCTAGAGGCAGTTCGGTTTCACATGATTCCTCCTCCTACTTCAGCCGCCTGCAGTCCGATCCTTTAGAGAGTTCCAGCGACCACTGAATGAACCGGCAGGTGAACCTGTGCAGGACCAGGGTCGTAAGAAAGTCACGCTGGCCTTAAAGCAGATTGACTGTTTTAAGCTAGAGTCTTTTCTTGAGTACTCAGCTTCTGCCCACTTACGGAGCTTAGGCTATGGGATGCAAGCCACAGATCCGTTACAGAGTTCAGAGACAATCCCTACAGTCAAATATCGTTCGGATTTTTTTTCTACTCTCACATCGTTTCGTAACAATACGCTTTTCCTCCACGCCTCTTTTCTATTGACAAACAGCATTGTATCCCTTGGAGTGATGAAAGGCAAAGCCACTGAACTGCATCATCAACACATGGCAGTTCCTTTCAGTTTTAATGAAATATATGACAGCAAACGGACCAGCAACGTACCTAAGTAAACCACATTCGTAGACCAAAGGAAGAAGACATTGTTAAGCACTGGGTTTAATACACAGCGGGTATCCAATGGATACAACAGAAAAGTTAATTCATTCAGAATTGTAAGGAAGCAACAGTTGTGCATTATTATTTTTTTTTGCTCGGTTTCACCATGTACAAACATTTGAACCCGGCCTCTTAACATTAGGCAGGTCAATGGGCAGAATAAAAGCAGATGCTTGCTCATAATAACTGAGGTTATTTTTGTTAAGCAAAACAAGGAAATACATATTTAGTTAGCTTAAAAACTTTTTTAAAACAAGAAAAGAATGACAGAGAGAATCAGTGACAACTATATGAAATCAAAATAGAGTCTGCTAAAGCAGAAGTGTTTCAGTTCAGCAGCAAATCTCCCTCATGCCTTTTTTTAAGTGCTGACTTCTCATCCAGCCCCCACGTTGCTTTTCGTCCATTCCTGACGACCGTTACCCTCTGTGCTTCACACACATGGCTGTCGTGGAGACCAGCCGTTTCCCTACTTTTTTAATTCTCTTTTTTCCCTCACAAGCTACCCTCGAACACCTGAGCTGTGGCAGGCTCCTCCCTGAACAGTCTCAAGAAAACACCTTTTCTGCGGAGAAGTGCCTGAATGCAGTGCCCCTATAGCTCCTGCTCTGCTGGTAATTAATTGCCTTCTTCAAGTGATGAGAGGGGAGTAGGCTGACAGCTCCGAGACTTTTCCTCCCGCTCATCTTTTGCAGAGACGAGAGTGACTGCGCAGAAGCCCGCCCGAGGTGACGAGCTGGGTAGGCTCCAGTGCTGAACAGACATCATTTCAGCCATAGGTAAGTGCAGGGCAGTAGCAGCCATGATGCAGACGGGGCAGATAATTATCTGCCGTGTTACTAATTGCCACAAATATCAGCGCTAAACTTTCTTGGCTTGGTTTAGATGAGAAAGTCTGGTGCTGCTGGGTGTTAAGCATCGTACAAGTAGATGCTAATCGTTATAAGCAGTTCTTCCCACGGATCTTGTAAAATGGAAGCGCTGGTGGAAAGTTGCCCACCAATTTGCTCTCTTATCTATTCCAGAGAAAACGGCAGACACCTGACACCCTGCGTGCTGAGGACTGCTGTAACACTGACTGGGGCCACTGAACGATGAGGCACCCTCCAGCCAGGAAGGAAACCACGTTTGGTCAAGGTAGAGGGTTCCTTTGTTGGCACAGTCTCTGCGGAGAACTACCGAGTTGTGTTCGTGCTCTGCTTGCCAAGCTTTTCAATATTAAAGGAAATGTAGTAGTGAAAACATGAGTAAGAGTCTGAGCGGGACAAGTACAGAGCACAAGGAGCCCCTCTGCCCTGTCTTTACACACTAGGGCCTTCTCTCCAGCTGGATTCTCGTTTGTCAGGTAGAACCCTGTTCTGGTTTTCTGGTTTTCTTGGTCGTTGGCTCTATAATTCTGCATGGACTTGAAGTCTCCCGGTTCATTCCTTTGCTCCAGCAACGCTGGAAGTCCTGAGAGGCTTCTCTGTGTCAGGCCAGCATTTCAGGGTATCCAACTTCCCCTTCTACATTAGGCCTTCACACAAAATCATCCGTTTTGCCCTCCCCTCCTTTGCAGACTATTGGTATGATGGCTGCAGACAACTATCCTGTTCTGTCCTGAGCGTTGGCTCTGCAGCAGCGATTCATTAACTCCTCTTTGCCTCCAAAAAGTGCTTTCAGGTCACGGTACACGCGTCGCGCCCAAGGTGCAACAACTCCTGTTGTTTCCCTTAGGGAAACCGAGCTACAGCCTAGTTTCAAACGCCCGATTACAGGAATTCCTGGGTTACGCTCAGGCGTTCAGAGGATGCCTTTCTCTCTTTTGCTCCTTACAGAAAGTAAATGTTATTTTTCAGCTCACACAGTTTGTTGGCTTGCAGACATTGAAGCTCGTAGCCAAAGCTCATGTTACTCTAACAGGGATGCTATTTCTTTTAAAATGCTGTCTCAGGAATTTACCTTGCTGGTGGCCTGACTCAAAATCTCGCGTGTAGCTGGGTGTAACAGAGCAGTTCTAGTCCCCCCTTCCCAGTGGGGATTGTGGCAGATTTCAGAAAGCTAAGCTGTTCTGGCAGGCTGGCCTGACTCCCATGAATCTCCATGTTGCCGGGAATTTGAAATCTCTTTATCCTGGTTCAGGCTGAGGTGCAGCTTGATGAGGATATGTGAGCAGCAAGGACAGAGCTTATCTTTACAGTGTGAAACAAAGGTTTGATGCAGCTTGGATCTCGTTTGGGCCAACGTGGTCCAGCTTGCAGCAGGGGAGACCGGTAACAGCTGAACTTACAGGGGCACTGGTTTGAAAATCCCAAACCTTTGGGGGCTTGAGGCAGGTGGAACCAAGCCATCCGTTGTTGGTTAACCTTGATGTTGTTGTGCCAACATCTCAGCGTAGAGCCCGATTGTTTGGCCCTGATTACAATGCAAGGCTGAGGTCTGCTCTAGCCGAGACAGGCGTTCCTGAGCTCCAGCTGCCTCCCCACGTGGCAGCTGCGCTCTGGGGGCCACGGGTTTCCGATACCTCTCGCATCGGTGATGTGTCCCCTTCTGCTCCGCTCCCGCCTTGCCAACACAGTCAGAAACTTGAGTGCTCTCTGTCACGCGATTCAAGATTTTAGCGGCAGGAGCTTTCACTACATGGGCATTAGAAAGGAAGAAAGCCTAGTGGGTGGCACTGGCACGTGAAACAACTTCAAAAGCACAGCAGCGCTAAGTGGAGAATTAAATGAGCAAAGCCTGGCTCCCCTAACGCTCCGAGGCTGGCTGGCAGTATTTGCAGCCTCTCTTAGTTTTGCATCTAGAAGGAAGATTAGCAAATGTTATACAGAAAACAGATCTTGAAACAAGCTTCCCTGTCTCAAAGGGACACAAATTCTCGGGGAACAGGAATAAGAGAGAGAAA